GATGCCAGCTCTTGCCCATGAGACAATCCCCATCCCCTCCCAAGCAGAGCCTGGAAATGCTGCATGGAGGGGATGGCTCAGGAGACAAAGTGGCTGAGAGGAATGGGGGAAGGTGGAGGTAGGCTTTGTTGTCCTTGAGTGCTGTCTGCAGCCTGGGTAAAAATAGCTTCCCCCCTGCCCCTGGCCCCTGCCCCATGAGGAGGCGGTAGTGACAGTGGCTGCTATGACGGTCCAGGAGGAGCATCCGGCAGGGCCTCTGTTGCCATGGCGATGCTGACTCAGAGGCAGAGGTAGGTAGCAGCATCTGGTACCCCGCAGGCCTGCCCGTGCTCACAGCACCCTTCCCAGCCCCCACCCTGCAGCCTTCACTCTGAGGGCGGCTTCTGAGACTGGAGAGGGGTGGGCAAGACCCAGAGGCAGCTGGATCAGTTCCTGCACCTGCTGGAAAGTGTGAGATGCTGAGGCCCTTCTTCCTGTTGCTCCCAGTCTCTCACCCTCTCTTCCTGCATCTCTTTCAGTCTGTCAGTCTTTGCATCTCAGAGTACAGCACACCCCCCAGGACCTGCGGCTACTGTCTGCCCCCATTCCTCTCTCCCCCTCATTCTTCTCCAGCCACACCAGCTCATTTCCACCTCAGGTCCTTTGCATGTGTTGGTCCCCCTGCCCAGAAGACCCTGAGGGTCTTCACCTGGTACTTATCTTGTTTAATTATGGGTTTTCTTGTTATCTGTCTCTACTTCCATCGCCAAAGTATCAAGACCTACGGGATGGCCTGTGGTTCCTCCAGAGGCCTGTCTGCCTATTTCTGTCTTCATTTCCCTCATTGGAAAATGGGCAAATGAGCATGGTGGTCATAGTATGACCTCACAGAGGGCTGTGGGGGCAGATTAAGCAACTGTGCCTAGCAGAGAGAGAGTAAATACATCCTTAGAAATAATCCAAGGTCCATGAGCTGGTGAAAGATGAACACAATGTGCTCCATCCATGCTGTGGAATATTATGCAGCCATGAAAAGTAATGAAGCATCGAGAGAGAGAGACAGAGAGAGAAGACACACTGCAACGTGGATGAACCTTGAAAACATGATGCTGAGAGAAGCCAGACACAAAAGGTCACATGTTGTATGATTCCATTTATATGAAATGTCCAGAACAAGCAAATCCATAGAGACAAGAAACAGATTTGTGGTTGCCAGGAGCTGGAGGAGGTAGGAATGGGTATGAGGTTTCTTTTTGGGGTGATGAAAACGTTCTGAAGTAGATAGAGGTGATGGCTGCACAATATTGTAAAGGGTACTAAATGCCACCGAATTGTTCATTTTAAAGTGGTAATTTTATGTTAGTGAATCTTACCTACATAATAATAATAAGTACATTGGGTAAAAACTAAGGAAGCTTGAATAAAGTGTGGACTTTAGTCAATAGCCAGCTTACTGCATCTCCAAGATACCCAGCACACAGCTGCCCTGGGGCATTTGCACCTGCTGTCCCTCCAGCTGGAAGCTTTAGGAGGCTGAGAAGCTGGATCAGACTCCGGTGGCCCAAGCTGCAGCCTGACTCCATTTGCTCGCCCCACCTTCCTCTGGACGCTGGAAAGGTCAAGGTGCCTCTTGGTTAGGATAGAGTGACCAGGAGGCTAAGTGGCTGGGATGATGTCAAGGACGCTTGGTTGCTTTGGAGGGGAGTTTGCCCCCCAGGGGAGGAAGAAGGATCTACAGCCAAGGTGGGGTCCTGCAGCAAGTGGGCGGGAGAAGCGATGGGGTTCAGTTCAGCTGGGGGCCCTGTTGGGGGGCCTGCTTCCTGCAGCCTCGTGAACACAAGCACCAAGAATCATTTTCTCATTTTTAAGGAAAAGTTAGTTAATATCTCCCTGGACAGCATCACTATATTCCAGCTTCCCCCTTCAGGAACAGGGACTTCTGGGGGTTTCAGAAAAGTCTGTCCTTCCAGAAGGTTCTGGGGAAACCTCATCCAAGTCTCTCCATGGTGACAAGGAGGCCACCAGGCTGACTTCCACATGAACTTGGGGACACCTCCAGCCTGGTTGCCAGGGACATTCAACATGCCAGAGGGACAGGCCCCAAGTGCTCACAGGTATGGTTTTCAAAGCAGCAGAAAAGGGAATGAGGGAGGGGAAGACTCATGAGGACATGCTGAGTATTTTTAGGCACTGAATACGGCCCTGAAATATTTCCATGGCCACTCCCGAGAGTGAGCTCGGTGATTATTTCAGTGCCCGGTTCCAGAGGAGGCGGGGCAGGGGTGACTCACCTCTGGGTGGCTGGGCCCAGACCAGGATGGGGCTCTTAGGGCAGGGGCCTAGAAGGTGACCACTCACCAGCCCAGGCCAGGTATCCGGTGCTGGCCTCTAGGGCACAGAGGACAGTGGCCTGGCTGCTGCTCAGAGGGTGGCATCTCCACTCAGGGCACCCCTGCACCATGGGCCCATCACACTGACCCCGAGGCTTATGGAGATGAAGAGGGTCCTGGGTCAGGCTTCAGACATTCCACAGGTGCTCTGTGAACAGCCACTCTGTCGTTTCAAGCATGAATGGAGCACTTGCTGTATACCAAGTATCCTTCCTTCTGTAATCCTCCCAATAACCCCCGTGCGGCGTAGTCCACTATTATCCCCACTACCGGTGAGGAACTAAAGCACAGCAGGGTTAAACTTGCAGGGCCCCTTGCATGCCTCAAACCCTGTTCCTCAGCTGAAGCTACAGTCCGAGTGAATTTTATAGCAGAAGCTGAACTTGCCTACCTTACCCCCTGCCCAAAACCGACTCCAGGTTGCTGACTCTGTGCCTGACACAACAGAACTGAAAGAAGGTAAATGGATCCTCCAAGTTCAAGAACGCAACAGGGGGAGGAGTTCTGAGGAGGCTCTGGAGCTGTGTGACCTGGGGCGGGGTGCTTACCCTGTCTACCTGTGCTTGGGAACAGGCTACAGCTCAGGAGCTTTGCACTTGCTGTACCCTGCTCTCTTCCCATGGCCAGTGGCTTCTTGACCTTCTGGAGCTGGTTTATGTCCCCTTAGCAAGGCCTCCTATACTCTGTGGAAAGGTCCTACCCCAGCGTCCTGGGCTCCGTATAGCATGAGGATCCCATCTGCCTGAGTCCTCACGGCACCTTTGTCCCTTCTGCCACCTCTGTGGCCTCCACCCTGGGCTGAGCTCCCAGCACTGCCTCCTCCTGGTCTCCTGGTTTCCACTCTTGCCTCAGTGTGTTGAGGAACCCTCTGTGGCTTCTCTGCTCCATCTGGGCCTTCACCTGTCCTATTTCCTGTCACCTCACTTTGCTTCTGTCACTATTCTGCTCAGGGCCTTTGCACGGGCTGTTCCTCCATCTGGAATGCTCTTCCCCAATATAGTTGGCTCCCTTGCCTCCCTCAAGCCCTTCTCAAATACCAACCTGTTTTTTTCTGAACACCTTTCCTTCCTACCCTTGCTTTCTTCTCTGAAAGCGCCTGGGACGGGGTTGTGACCCCAGTTCTGTCCCCAGCCAGCCGTGTTCCCATTGTGGTGGGTGGCTTCTCCCACTGAGGTTGCACGAGGCTAAGCAGCCCTTTGTCCACAGAGGGATGGCAGAGGACACTGGGGCACACGCTGAGCCACTGGGAACACTTACTGCAAATGCTAGGATGTGTTGGCCCTTGAGTCCAGCTGAAGGGTGGGAAGGACACCTGCCATCACGCCACCTGGAGGAGTTGGGGGGGTAGGGTCAGGGCAGGGTTCCCCAGCCCAGCTTTGAAGCCAGGTGGAGGAGGAGAAATGGCATGGAGGAATGTGCAGGCAGGGGTGATGTAGAAAAGTCAAAGTAGAGACCTCCTCACCCAGCTCCTTGTGGGATCTATGTCCCAGAAACAGCCTCTTGGCCCCAGGTCGAGGCAGCAGGGTGCTGCCAGCTGGGGCCCAGGCTAAGTTACACCTGGGCACATGGGGCTCCCTGATGGCCAGCAGGAGCAAACTCCAGGGGAGGAGGTCAGTGTCACAGTCGAGGACCCTGCACTGTCAGCTGAGAGGGCGCAGACCCCACCGACAGACCATCAGGAAGACAGAAAGATCGAGGCCCCATGCTTTTGGTTTCTTTTCTTGATGAGAGGCTGAGACTGGTTTCTTAAAACCAATCAGGAAGAAGACTGAGATAGGGCTGTCCCGACAGCCAACTCAGGATGGAGCCTTCAGGAAGCCCTGGCACCTAGGTGTTTGGGCCAGAGCAGCAACTCACGTCAGGGGTGAGAAGGGAACAGGGCAGTTAGCTGGACTGCCCACTGGAAAGGTCAGGGTGTGGCTGGCGGCCAAGATTACGCACAGGCTTGGGGCAGGCTGGGGGTGAGCGCAGCAAGGAGACAGGCCCCCATGTCCCTGAACTTCGGAAGGGCGCTGGGGCATCTAGAGGCTCTATGGGTCCACAGCCAAGTCAGGGAGAAAAAAACAAACCACCAGGTGCAGGAAAGGGTAGGCCTCCAAAGGACTTCCTCTGGCAGGCAGTGGGACACCTGACCCCAAAGCCCCCATTTCATCAAAGTCCTAACAGACAGCTACCACTTGTGGCAGTGTGTGGGTGTGGGTGTGGGAAGCACGGGGAGGGCAGCCCCCAGACCTTTATGGGATCCTGCATCCAGGGTGATGGTGCCAATGGCTCCTCTTTTCCAATCTGTGCTTTACTTCTTGCCCCTTCAAGCCCACAAAGCTGGGGATCACCGCCCACATCTTTAATGAGGGAGGTGAATCTCAGGGGCCTTGGCTTGCCAGAACCCCCTAAGCCTCACTCGGACCCTACACCCCATCCCCAACACAGGCCAAAGTGCTGTTCTGTTATTAGACAAGGATTCAGGCGGCAGCGGGTCTCAGGAAGGGTGCCACCAGGAAGAAGCAAAGATGGAGTGGGAGTGTGGGAGGAGGGGGGAGACCACATTCTTGAGATCAGGTGAAAAAATATGAAATGCAAAGATCTTTGAGACGAGACTGGGCTAGCACTTTGCAGATCCGACAAGTGGAGTTCTCGGGGCAACTACATCTTTTATTCCACTCACCCCTCAAAACAGGCCTCAACACGGTGACAATTAGAACCCCATCCATACGAACTGGCCAGTGCTCCTCTCTCAGCACCTGGCTGTCCCTGCAGTCCCCTGCACTCACTAAAGGAAAATCGATCTGAAGCTGATGACACTGGAAGCCTTTTGCTAAAGTGTAGTTCAATGTCTCAGCAATGTGGGCGGCACTGCCTTGGAGGCGAGGAAGAGGCTCAAGAAAATCTCCCTCGCACATTCCTCCATTCCTCGCAGCCACCTGTCTGTCTGGGTAAACTCTGATGTGAATGATGGTTGCAAAACAGGGCGGAATGCAGGTGGCAAGGCTGGGCCTCTTGGATGTCCTCCTGGCTCCACCCTGACGTCCCACCCCCATCTCTCACAGCATCAGCTCTCTACAAAGAGGGGAGGAGTTTACCTGGGGCACCCCTCTTCCCAGTCATGCTGATCTCACCTTACCTAAGTACATGACATCCTTTTTTATGCATCCTTTGAAAGGAAACTGTTTTTAAGGGGCTGTGACTTCCCAATGACACCACACATTATATGTGCCTAGTGGTTCAAAAGGAATTTAGGATTTTAAGTTTGTAGTTGCGTTTGCTTTTATTTTTGTTACACAAAGAGGGAGAGAGGAGGTGAAGGGGCAAGGCCCAGCCACATCCCCTGAACAGCTTCTGTGACACAGGTCTGTCCAGATTTGTTTTCAAAGGGCAATTTCAGGCCCATGTTTCAGAAAATTCCCTGGGCTGTCAATCTCAGTGCAAACAGCTTAAAATAAAAACCTCCAGTGTGCTCGCCACACAGGGATCCAGCATAGGATGCAAAACAAACCTGTTTGGAAAATGCCCCCCTAACACAAGGGCAAGGGCCCTAAGGAGGCGTTAATACACAGAATCTTCGACTGAAACTTCACAAAACCCCAAACACCAAGTAACATTTCCAGCTGTAGCTGTGCTGGCTAAAAACACTCAAGACAAAAAACTTTACATAAAAATGAAGATCACAAAATGCACAGATGCACAGGTGGGGGGTCCCCCGAACACCTGCCTCTTCTTTCCATTCTGAACAGACTTGTGGACTGGAGTAGACACGTCGCCTCCCGCTGCTCAGTCTTGGGGGACGCAGGGCTGGCTCACTGTTTGCCTGCCTGCCTGCCTGGCTTCTTTTCTGGCTGACCTCTGCCTGTTCCTGAGATCCCGCCTCGGCCCCGGCCGCCGAACACACCTGCAGGACAGAAGTAGGAGCTGCAGGGGAGTCGGGCTCCAGGATCATCGAGCCCCTCTGAGCCTCAGCAACTCCCTCTGTAAGTGGGAGGGAAGGCTGAGAATCTTGGGTAGAGCGTTTGACCAGGGCTGGCCATGGGTGGTGCTCCAGAGTGTTCTCAGTGTGACAATGGAGACCAGGCCTCCGCAGGGTGCAAGGGGTGTGAGGGAGGTGAGAGGTCAGCCACAAGTCACACTGGGGCTTGGGGCAGGCTTCCTAGGAGAGAGGGACCAGGGCCAGGGAGGGGGCCCATGCTGGGATAGGGGGCAGTCATTGGAAGAACAAGGCCAGAAGGGCTGCCAGGTGGGGGGAGTAGAAGCCAGGACAGAGACGGGACTCTGACCAGGGGTGAGATGAGATAGACTCTGACCAGGGGTGAGGTAGAGGCCCCCAGCTCTGAGGCCAAGGTCTGCAATGGGAACCCAGGACCTCCCTCGCTCCAGCACCATCCTGTGGGGACAGAGACCAATGCTGCCAGAGGCTGCCAGAAAAGCTTTGCCAAAGAAGCTTCTGTGACACTTCCACCTGCCGCCGAGGGCCCTAGAGCCTCTCTCCAGAGTGACCTGAGCAGGCCTCCTCCCCCACCCTCCCTGCAGCTCAGTCAGCAGTGGTGCCCCTCAGTGTGAAGAGCCTGGCCCTCAGGTACCGGATAGGCCCTGAGATCCTGGGGCCTCACTCACCCCCAGGACCTGTCAACCCTCTGCCTACAGTGCCCTCCCACCCTCTTCCCTGTGGCTCACTCCTGACTGTCACGTGAGCCTGGCTCAAGGCTGGCTCCAGGCCTGTCACTCAGGAGGCCCCCAAAGACAGAAGAGACAAAGCCAGGCCACTCCAAGAACAGGAGCCTGATGGGGGAGGTGGGGTTTATAGATGGCCTCTAGGCTCAGCCCCGAGCTGACTGCACAACAAATTTCATTTTAAGCCAGAGTTATCATCTTGGGATTGTGGGGGAGTCTTATCAAAAAGGCGTGACCTTAGCTCTGTATCAAGGAGTCATGGCAGGGAAGGGTCCTGTCCAAGGCCCTGAGCTGGGGTCCTTGCCAGCAGCCTGGTGAGGCAGGTCCTGCAAGACCCTCTCTACAGAGGGAAAACTGAGGCTCGGAGAGGTGCCACGCCCAGAGACACAGGCAGGCATTTGATAGGGGCTTGAGGTCCAGGTCTGCATAGGCACCAGATCAGTATGCTGGGCTAGACCCAGTGCTGAGAGAGCACCGAGAACTCAGCCAGGACCTGGGGCTGGAGTCTGGTGTGGAGGCAGGCAGCAGTCAGCAGCAATAGCAGCTCCACAGAGGAGCCCTGTGAGTCACAGCCCCCTGGCTCTATGTAGGGAGCTCAGAGCCAGGCCCAAGGCACCGTGATGGCACTGGACAAGAATGTCAACATTTGGCTGGGATGGATGCCACGTGATACAGCCACCCGTGTGTGTGTGTGTGTGTGTGTGTGTGTGTGTGTGTGTGTGTGTGTGTGTGTGTGTGTGTGAGTGACTTACCTCGCCCGGCACCCCCCATGCCTCGGCCCTTCTGCTGCTTCTGCTGCTGCAGGCCACCGCGCCCACGGCCCTTGGCCACCACCTCCTCCTTGACCATGTCGATGATTTCGTCGGGGATGCGCAAGTACTTGATGGTGCTGCCTCGGATGTAGCACTCGGGCATCCGCCAGAACTTGTCCCCGTCCTGTGCCAGAGAGGGGTATCAGATCTGTGGTGGTCCCTGCAGCGTGGGTACACATGGCCAGGGTGGGCCCAGGCTGCCTGCCCCTGGCATCACTCCTGCACGCTTCCAACTTCACAGTCCCAGACATGACACATGGAGGGGCTGCCCGCCAGCAGCGTCTCGAAAGACCCTCGGCACCCATGGCACATAAGGAAGGGCAGCAGGGCTATGTGGGAGATGGCCTGCTTGGCTTGGCTTGTCCTCCAGTGAGGGATGAGGTTTGTTACCTGCAGCTTGATGCCCAGAGTGGGGGACTGCCCCATGCACTAGGCACAGCAACAGACCAGCTCCCCACTGTTCCTGCCCTCAGCCTTCTAGAACCCACCTTCTGGAACCTTATCTACATGCCCTGACTCATTCATGAAATTATCTCCTGACAAGGTCTGAGCTGGGCATGGGACACAGGATAGACACCCTGTGTGATGGGTGAAGAGGGCCAGGACTGGGGTGGGGAGGCAGGTCTAGGGCCCGCCAGGGGCAGCTCCCCAAAATACCAGTTTTCAGGGGAGCTAATTAAGGCTGGAGAGACAAGGGGGATCGCAAAGTCACAACCCTGAGGTCCTGGTTTCTAGGACAGAGGCTGCCTCCCCGCTAATACCCTGGGACCAGCACAAGGCCTTCCCCATATGTCCCCTCATGCTGCCCTTGGGCAGAAGCCCAGGGCCTTTTCCATCAAATTCATTTCCCGGCCCTACCCCTGTTGACCAGAGCCAGAAGCCTGGGCAGCTTTCTCCTACCCCACACCCTTAGAAATCAGACCAAGACCTCTCCCTGCTTAGAACCCAATCAGGGCCCCTTTGGCCCAAGGACCAGGTCCAAACTCCTCCGTGTTGCTCCCAAGAGTCTAAGATCGAACTCCACCCTGGCTGCCCTCTCTTGGCCTGACTTGCCTTCCAGACGGAACTTTCTGGAACACAGGCCAAAGGCTTCCTGCCTCCAGCACTTTGCATACGCGATTCCCGCCTTTCCTGGTCCAGCTAACTCTGGCCCTTGATAGGCCTTGCCTCCCAGCCCTTCTTGAAACCCCCAGTCTTCCCCTATGACATTCACCAGCAGTCTGGTCTGGCCCAGCAGAGGCACTCAGCAGGTCAGACAGAACATTCAAGGGCTAACTCTTCTCATGAACGTGCATGAGCCCCCAGCCCACACAGGACCCCTGAGAGACCCCGGGCATTCCTTTCCAAGAAAGGGTGGGCGAGACGCCAAGTCTGTGGGAATACAAAGTACAGCCAGACAGAAACAGAAGGATTCTGTGGAAGCGCGAGGCCAGGGCTGGGGCTGGCTGCTCCTTGCTTGGTTCTCCCTCAGCCAAGGACAGGCTGGGCCCAGCCTGCCCCGCTGCCTGTGGGAACCAGGGCTCACTCTGCTTTCCATGGCAGTAGCTTAGCGTCTCCCAGCTGGGGCTCCCCTTGGAGTCTCAGCCCCTGGCGTCTCTGGATCCCACCACCTTCCGCCCAAGAGTTTGAACCTTCTTCCAGCCTCTTCCAACCGCCTGGTCAGAGGGGACTGCCCAGGGGAGCCACATATCCAGGCTCAGCTGCCATGGAAGCCAGACCAACCTCACCCCAAACCCGATAGTAGGTTCTCGGTCCCAGAAGTGGAGACAGACCCGCTGGCCATGTGCAGAAGGACAGGTGCAAGGCTACGCATTGTGGCACTGTCTGCTATGGCCACAATGGAGCCTCCCAGACACTGGCTGCCGGGTGTGTGGTGTGGAAACCAGGAAGGAGCTTCTATAAGACTGGAGTGGAAGCCCCACGATGTACCACTACAAGAAGCAGGTCATGGAGCCATGTAGGTGAGGGGAGGGGTCATGGCCACCTGACTGCCTGTCGGGGTGTGAACTCTCCCAAAGGATGGACCAGGGGCGGAGTGGCTGCCTTACATTCTGGCATGGCAAGCCCCAGGGGCACACTGCCCATGGGCTCAAGACAGCCCCACTCTGGCTGGGCCCCCCAGCAGCTTCCTCCCCTATAACCTGGGAGGCTGTCACCAGCAGGGGAATGGAGAATGGAGTCCAGGCGGAAAGACAGAGCCCATGCACATTAGTGGGAGGGAGCCCCGTCTCCACCATTGTCCTCATCTTCTTGGTTCTGGGGTCAAACCAGCACGTGACTCCAGAGACCATTCCCCAGCTCTGGCCCGCACAGTGGTGCTTCTGGCCCTGTACTTCCTGGTTTCAGGCCTCTGAAGGTAAACAAGCCTGCTAGTCCTCAGGGCCACCCTCGCCCCCTGGTGGCCTGGACATCTCACGACCATTCCACCAGGGCCCAGCCTGGACCAACAGCAGCTAAGGCTAACAGGAAGGTGAGCCTGGCCTGGAGGTTACTCCCTACCTCTACAGCAGGGACGCGCCCCCCCAGGCCGGAGTCCATCCTGGTCAGGGGTGGCGGCAGGGACAGGGGCGTGGGGAGAATAGCTCAATACCTGCCCAGGCAGCATCCCCACAGGTGCAAAGTCCTCACAGAGGTACAAAGTCCAGAGCACTGGGGGACTTGAAGCCCTGTCCCTTGGCACTGCCTCTCCACACCCAGCTTAGTCCTTCAGGCCCCACCCTTCACCTAGGCCCCACTCCTGGTAGGATGGCCTGTGCTAAGTAGAGTAAGCCCCCCTACTCCTCCCAAAAGGCCCAGGGAAGGGCACTTACCCCATTTGGAAGTGAGGATGCTGAGGCTCTGTAAGCCCCCAGTCCAAGCGTGCACTTCCAGTCATGCTGCACCCACTTCCCATGCCCCTCAGCCCCACCTAATGGCCCCCAGGTGTTGGACGCAGACTCTGTTGTGGGGCACTCACCCTGGACGTGCAGATCACCTCACGCAAGTTGATGTTCATCCAGTTGTCACAGCTTACCAGGTGCCCGTTGTACGTCTCCCCATTTTTAAGCTCCACCAACTGGAGAGAAACAGGCCCCAAGTCAGCCACGGGCCCCAAGGGAGGTGCAGCCCTTGTGATTGCCAGGTGACCGCCACCTAACTCCTCTCTGGACTCAGAGGCCATGACATGCAGTGCTGAGGGGCCCGTCTTACAGGGACATGTTCTGCTTTATCTGCACACTTTGCCGGGCATTGTAGATTTTCTACAATTAGACCATTTTTCCTTTTGTGGGGAAAAAAAAAAACCAAACCAAACAAACAAACAACAAAGACTGAGATTTAAAAAAGAACTAACTCAGGTATCTGCTGAAGAGAAATGAAGGCATACATCCACGCAAAAATGCATACATGCATATTCACATCAGCCAAATAGTCACACAAATAGCCAAAAGGTAGAGACTACCCAAATGTCCATCAACTGGTAAATGGATATTCATATTGTGGTCCTTCCACACAGTGGGATAGTATTCAACCATAAAAAGGAGTGAAGCTCTGACACATGCTACAGTTTGGATGAACCTCTAAAACATCATGCTGAGTAAAAGAAACAAGACATATAGTCCACAATGTTGTAAGATCCCATTTACATGAAATGTCCAGAACAGGCAAATCCATACAGAAAAGATTGGTGGTTGTCAGGGGCTGAGAGAGGAGTGACTGATAATGGGGACAGGTGTTCTTTTGGGGTGATGGAAATGTTCTGGGTCTAGACAGAAGTGCTGGTTGTGCAACATTGTCAATGTTCTAAATGCCACAGGATGGTTCACTTTAAAAGGTTGAACTGTGGGGCCGGCCGAGTGGCTCAGTTGGTTAAGAGCTCGCTCAAGAGTTTGAGCTCTGAGCAACAGCGGTTCGAGTCCAGCCCAAGCTGAGCTGCCAACAGGTAGCAGGATGGCTCAGCTAAAAAAAAAATAAAATTAAAAAAAAATAATAAAAGGTTGAACTGTATGGTGTTTGAATTACTGAATAAAAAGAAAGAACATTGAGAAATACTACATTATACTATTAAGGACAAAAGTAGTTTAGAAAACAGCGTGCATTGTATGATTTCTATGTGTTTTAAAAAAATCACATTCATGTTTATACACACATATATCACAGAATTAGTTAAGTTGCTGGGAAGATGAATGCAGGGGGCTTCCATTCTAAGTCTCTCTCATGTTTGACATTTTTAATAAGCATGTATCATTTTTATAAGCAGCAGAAATGACACCGGCCCTGACCCATGTGGGAGGGAAGGGAACAATCTGTTGTTTCGTGGACAGGTGGGTGGCAGGTTTGGCTGGAGGCACCTCACCCTTCGCCTAGTGTCCCCGTCCCTGTGCTGAGGCTGGTCCCCACTGAAACTCGCTGTCCCAGACTGCACATACTCACCATGGGATGATTCTGAGCTGTCTTTAGCAGTGATAACGGGAGCTGGAAGGCAAACAAGGGCACGTGATTTGTCTGTTTAATCAGTGCTTAGGAGCCCTGGCCTCTGGGCAGTGTCCCACAATAGCACCTGAGAGGGTGGTGGGGGGGGGGGCAGGAGTGCACATGCCTCACCCTCAAGGAAGAGGTATTTTCCTCACTGTCAAACCCCAGGATACACATGTGCATCGCAGTTTAGGAAAGAGGATCTCAAGCCCTACCTCTCCTCCCAGAGGCAGCTGCCGCCTGGGCCTGGTGCTAACCATTCGGCATTCCTTTATAACTCACGCTGTACATATTCCTCACACTCCTGACACATAGGGCGTAACCCACAATACTTACATGCCCACCATGCTGATAAACAGCATCACAGAGTACAGGTCCCTGTGCTGCTGAGTTTTACTCAACTGATGTCTAAGATGCATCCACACGGACTCACGCAGCTCCAGGTCTTTCACTTCCAGCATCGTATGTGGCTATCGCCACATTTTACAGAAAGGGATACTGAGGCTTAGAGACTGAGGATGTTGCCCAGCACTAGAGCTAGTAAGAGACAGAGCCTGGCTTGACCCCCTCTGTCTGTAGCCAGAGGGCAGCCCCACTGGACCAAGAGTGACTCAGCCAGGCACAATGGGAAGTCTACCCCAATCTGAGGAGGCCACACTGGAACTAGGTTTTCAAAGACGGCAATTCACCAGGTAAGGGGAAGAAACATTCTAGAAAAAGTCTGTGATTATTCCAAGAGATGGCAGATAAAGGACGGTCTCTTTTAAAGTTCACCCAGATAAGGTGGGCTTTCAAGATATTTCTTTTCCATCATCACTGAATTTCCTTTTTATAACAAACATGGTATAACTAGGGGGAAAAAAAATCAGTTCTCACTTGGGGAACACAAATCATGACCCGCATACTGGAGCCACCTCTGGTTCTCCAGAGCGTGAGTCCATGGTCCAATGGCAGCCCATTCGGCATGGCCAGATGAAGGTTCTGAACCGAGGGCCCCACAGATGGGAAACCGCCTGAGGGAGGAATGAAGCTTCCCTGTGCCCTGCCCTAGTTACTTTAGAATTCCAAGCTGGCCTGCACCTGCCCTCACACTATTGATACAATACGGGGCAGCTGTTTCTCCAGGTGGTGGAACTGGAAGGCCTCTCCCTGTGGAGGTCAGAAATGGTCCTCAGCCCCCACAGGGTGGTTCCCCATGGAAAAGCTTGGTGGGCGGGGGCAGATCCCATTTCCCACAGGCCTTCCCTGAGAACAGTCACCAGGGGAGGTCCAGCGCTGACAGGAAACCAGGCCCAAACCCACTTCCTGCACTGGCTTCCTGGAACGGCAAGATAAGGAGGAAGAAGGGGCCACGTGGAGAAGGGGCAGCTGAGCCAAGGGCAGGCTGGGACCCCAACGTGGCCAATCCAAAGCTCCTGCCCTCTCCTTTGGGTACATTTGTGTGACACTGTACCCAGGCTGCACAGGAGAAACATGAGGCTCAGACCCGCACGCAGGGCCATGCACCCAGGTCGCCTTTTACTATAGAGAAACTTCGGGCTTTCCTGGACAGTGGGAATCAAGATCAAGGTGATGAGACACCTGGGTCCTCCTCCCACATCAACAGAAGGGACAGGGTCAGGCTAATGAGAATGAAAGGAAACTTGAGACAGGAAAGTGAGAATGAAGATGGATTCAGCACAGACAGGTAGAGAGATCTGCCCAAGGACATAGAGCAAGGTCCTGGTAAAGCCAATGAGAGTAGCCTGATGCCTGTCAGCAGGGGACCCACTGACAGTCCTTTTATGGCATTCGCAATCTCTGTGCTTGCTAGTGATGGCCTCTCAGGCTACCACCTCATCCCAGCTACTGGCAGCACAGCCCTGGAAGATCCGCAGCCTCTTTGGCTGTCACTGGCAGTTCCTTATCCACAAAGCAGCTGAGAGGACATCTGAAACACAGAAGGGGCCAGCACCTGCTCCCAGCCCTCCCAACTTCCCTGGCACACACTCCCCAGGCGGGCCACAAGGCCAGGCCTGACAAGGCTCCAGCAAACTGCTCCATGCTGCTCCTCACAAACCAGGCCCATTCCTGCCGCCCAACTTTTGCTCCTCCTGTTTCCTTCCCCAGGCTGGTTGTTACTTAAACGTCACCTCCTTTGGCCAGGTCCTCATAACCCCATCTAAGGAATGAGGTTTCCACCTGGGCCACTCTCTGCTGTTTCCATTATAGGACGCAGCCAGTCTCTAATTATCTTGTTTACTTGTCTCCCTGGCTAGACTTGAAACACCATGCCTCCTGCTAGACTGGAAAACTCAGAAGGTGTGGACTTTGTCTAGCACCCAGCATGAGACCAGGCACATGAGGACTCGGTAAATATTTGCTGAACAAATACATGAGGGAAATGCACACACTGCTTAGGAAGGTATATGGGATGCTCGCCCCACCCAACAAATAAGGAAAGGAGAGGCTCAAATGGGGAGAGGTGGCATCTGGACAGCTCTCCATAGCTTCAACAGCGTGGAGCAGTGGCCATGTCTTGCCATCTTCTATATGGTCATCCTCAAACTGTGCTGGAGACAGAAAAGTGGAAGGGGAGGATCCCTAAAAACTTAAAACTTGGTAGGAAAGAGGAAGATGATGTGTGAAGGTATCAAGAGAAAGAGAGGGCCGGACACCCAGATTGGGGAAGATGGGGCCATCTGGAGTTGGGAAAGTCAGAAAAGCTTCAGGAAAGAGGATTTCTTTCTCTGGGCTTTCTCACAGGGTATGGTTCTCAGGTCTGGATCAATCCAGGACTAACTAGACCCAGCGGTTTCCTGAGGCTCCCAATTCAGGAAGTTGTTGAGGATCACACCCACATACACACCCAGACCCCTGCTTCCGGCCCTATTGTGACCATAGGGATCTAAGGGTGTGTTATACCTTGTCCACTCATGGACACTCTTCGGGTTAAAGAAATGAGTCTGTACTTTGCACAGGCAGTGTTCTATACTCTGGGACTATATCAGGGATACATACAAAGATCTGGCCTCCATGAAGAGTAACAAAGGGGGGTACATCCAGTCATTCCCTCAGGCCAACTTTGCCCCCCAGCAGAGAGGAATCTGGTCCCTTCTCTCAATTCCTGTACTAGCCAGCAGGATTTAGCAGGCAACCTCACTAACCCTTGGCTTTCAGAAACATGCAGCAACCGTCTCAAAGTGACTCAAGTGCTGATGAGCCAGGCACAATCCCAGGAGACCCAACTCTGAATTCCTTCTTGGGGGCCTCCGTTTTCTTGTCTATACATGGGGTACGAACACTCTGGCCTAGATCCAGAACTTCCACGATGTGTGAGCGCTTTGGTCTTGGAGAGGCTTTCTGTCAGGGCCTCAATTTTTCCTTCTGTGAACTGGAAGGCAGCAGTTAGTCCTCTCCTGGCTAAAAATGCCCTTTCCCCCTGAAATGAACGACATGCTGTGAGAGAGAGAGAGAGAGAGAGAGAGAGAGAGAGAGAGAGAGAGAGAGAGAGAGAGAGAGAGAGAGAGAGAGAGAGAGAGAGAGAGAGAGAG